CTTAGTTGTGCCCGACCCAATTTCATGATTATGGGCCACCTCCTTCTCATTATTTGCAGTCCTCTGTTGACCACTCGCTATAGCGAGGTCGCTCACTACGATTCCATTTGCTTTGCTAGGATGAGCCTTGCTTTGTCGATTCCCTCGGCTCGATACCACACGCCACTCTCGTTCTTCCATAAACCCCTCGCTTTGATCAGGTAAATAGCCGGCCTCCTTGTGTTTAGCTAGAGAAGTCGCCCCAAACTCGAAGATTTGAGGCGATTCTCTCGTATCCTCCCGTTCTAATAGATCAAATTGGGACCCCCGTCCCATAATCATGGGCGCAACTTTTCCACTATGTGTCTTGTCCACCCCGCGATCACGCCTGGTGCATGTTTGGCGTTGACACTGAGGGACCTGGATCCATGGGCCATATCGTTGTGTCCTTTCATTACAAGGCGTCGTCTCCATCGCCCCAATTTCGTTAAACCCAACATTTGTTGGCTTTATGCTCTCATCCGGAGCAGTCTTTGTGCTCACCTTGGAGTCGGGTCCTTTAGGACCTGTGCGCTTTAAGGGAGGTGGTTGGTACATACAAGAGCTTCTCGAGTGACCAATCCCCCTACATTGGAAACAAATAACTGGTAAGATTTCGTACACCACCCTCTAGGATCTTCCGTTGATGGTAAATTCCACGCAAAGCGGTTTCGTAAGATCTACCATTACAACAAGCCGAGCATATTTACCACTTGTCAGGGTGGCGGTTATTTGATCAATTTTAACCACCTTGCCGACAATCTGACCAATCTTACAGAAAATCTTCTGATGGTATAGATGAGCGGGCATACCGGGTAACCGGATCCATGCGACCGTTGTCGTTAAGTCCTTCTCGGTCGCATCAAAGTCCAGAGTCCACGGATGCACGTGCATATAGCTGTTCTCCACTACATATGGCCCTCCAGTAAGGACTTAGATTGTGTCATCATGATTTCGAAAGTGGATGAGATAAAAACCGTTTTCTAAGTCCATCATATTACAGCCCGCCATAAAAGGCCACATCCGGGTGAGTGGATTATAAAGTCGTGGCATAGTAAGCGCCTCATCACACGGTTTCATCACAACTGTATTCTGCCATTCACTAATAAATATAAATACATACCATTTAACACTTAAATCATATTTGAATATTAGCGCAATATTACTAATCAATACAAAAGGCATTTATTATTTAATCTAATATATGGCATATATATAATACTATTTGTTTAATGGATAAATTACTCATGATTATAGGTTTTGGAATCAAAAAATATTCTACACTCATGATATTATTTACTTATTTATTTATTATGAAGAATGTTTGTGTGATTGCTTGAGCATGTTTTAAAAACATTTAATATCTAATTTCACTATTATTTGATTTAACTTTTATGTTGTAAAAAATGAAGTAAAAACATTCTACAAAAATATGTTATTTGCGTGTTTTTAAAATATTTTATATCAAATTTCACTACTATTAGATATAATTTTTATATACAAAATTTAAGATAAAAAATTATAAAATTTAGTCAAGAAACATACGAACACTTATAATTATTTTAATTTATAAAATATAAATTATGAAAATTAGATAAATAATTTAACGTAAAATCTTTAATAAAATATAAAATAAAATTTTGTAAAAATGTCTGTCAAGTACAAACGTCCCGTACTTTCAATTGTTTGTATTAAATAAAATGAATCACAACTGACGTGTCAAATTATAAAATAATGGGTCTTTGATAGTTATTCATAAATTAAATAAGGATTAGTTGAGGTAGTTAATATTAATATAAACATGAACATGTGTCAAAGAATGTAAGGACTTTCCAAAAATGCACTGCAAAATAATTGTTATATTCTAACGAAAATCCTATGGCAATATAATCCAATGGAAATTCCAACGGATATTCCAATGGTATAGCTTCCGTTGGAATAGTTCCAACAGAAATTCCAACGGGAAAAAATTCTGTTGGAATGTGTTTTCCATTGGAATTTTAGATGAAATTTGATGATTCCAACGGCTCTATTTCCAACAGCTTTTTACTGTAGGAATTTCCGTTGGAATATGTAAACTCCGTTGGAATTTTATTTCCACCACCGTTGGAAAATCCACCGTTGGAATCGTCAAAATCCAACAGAAATTCCAATGGAATAATTTTGTTAGAATTTCCGTTGGAATCCATTGAAAAATTCCAACAGGAATAATAATATTGAAATATCCGTTGGAATTGCCGATCTTTTGGAATAGATTTCCGTTGGAATTCCATCATTTTCTTGTAGTGATAGTAAGAGTGTTGTAGGACCCACATAAAACTTTCTAAAAATGGCAATGAGTTGCCTAATTATATAGTAGATAGATGATTTGTTCACTTGTTCAACTGTTTCTTCTCACACGTCTTTTAATCTCTATCCACTTTTAATTTTTCTTCTCTTTCCTCTTCTTTCTCTTATCATATTCTCCTTCAAAAAGCCACAAATTTGTCATATTCATAAGCATATATTTATATTTATCAAATTTAAATAATATTTATTTTGAAGATATTTTCTGTAGTATTCTGTTAAAAAAGAAAAATGGGAAACATGTAGAACTGATTGTGCATCGATTTTTTGAAGTTATAATTAAGGTGGCAGTTATCTAACAATCGAGGTATGATTTTGGGTGATTGAGAGATGGATAAGTACTATTTTCTCTCCACCATCTTAAGACCTCATTAGTAAACAACACGTGTGATGCAGGGGTACTTATCTCTTATAATTTTATTTTAAATAAATTTTTTTGATATAGGATATTATACCCAAGGGAGTAAACTGGCCCAGTTAGTCGGTCGAACGATTCAAGCAACCCAAATAACCATTTTAGTCGAGTAAGAGTTTGAGCGAAGTGGTTGTGGTCGAGCACCACAGAAACAAGATCCTTTGAACTAGAATGTAGCTTACAGGGAATTCTGGAAAGGAGAGAATATGTCGGTCCTAGGTCCATGGAGGATCAGGTCAAAGATCGGCCCGTCGAGCAAATGGTCGTTTGTTCGACCACTTTACAGCCTGAGAGCAATCAGAGGATCGACTTAGATTTAGATCGACCACAAGAGCCTTCAAGGAGACCTCAGAGGAATCAAACCCATTGTGCGGATGACACGTGGCAAGACCTGATTGGTCCATCATAAATAATATCGTCTCTTACACACCTTTAGCGTGTGTTGTACGAATGGGTGGGCCGAGCAATTTTAGCAGCCAGCTCAGCTTATTTGAAACAGAACCACTAAGGAGAGTCAAATGCAAAGGGCTTGATCTAGAGGGAAAAAATGCATCCATCGAGAAACTGGTATCTCACCCCTATATTAGGGGTGGGCTTTATGATTTGAGCACGATTTATCCATTATACTTTTGAGAATTGAGTAGAGCTTCAGACTGACTTAAGCATCAGAGGCTCTTCACGGGAAAACCCCTCCGGTGTGAGATCTTTTGCAGGTACGTGGCGTTCTACTGGCGAGGAGGAAAAGGCGAGCCGATTTCAAGCCGGTCGAAGTGTTCGATGTTACCATTATTTATATTTAAACATCTCATTATGGAAAGAAAAGAAGAAAGAAAAAATAGTATATCATTGAACACCTCCCTTGCACAATATTTTTAGTTTGATTTTGTGGCAAGTTGTCATACTACAAATTAGATTTTTCAAACTCTTTCGGTTGGTGATGCAGGAGACAACAACCTATAACTACCTGGTCATGACTAAAAACCAATTTGTTCAAGAATAAGCTAACCTACTATAAAGATTGGCTCTCTGCCTTTTGGTTATAGTTATTTCGTAAGAAATCATGTTTGGGAACTGTCTTCATTGGCACTTAAAATGTAATCCTAATCCAATGTATTAATTTGCATGGTAACAAGTGAATGGGCAATTGGATGTTTGTATCACATTATCACCTGTGTGGTCACCAGCGAATGGCCAATTGAATCTTTACATCATATTGGGAAATTGTCTTCGTTGGAAATTCTTAATGCGATATATTTTATATTAAATATAATTATATATGTATCCCGATTCTATGAAAAAACAAGTTATCTCGTGAAATTTAGGATTCTATGTCGTTCTGGATCCTAATATATATGACATTGTTAATGAGAAATATTTAATATATTCAGAAATTTAATTAATATTTGGGATGATAATACTGTTTC